AAGAACTGTGTGTGTGTGTGTGTGTGTGTGTGTGTGTCTATTTCTCTGCCTCCCAACTACATCTTTAAAAATTAAATATAAGTTAAAATCCGGCCGGCGCTGCGGCTCAATAGGCTAATCCTCCGCCTAGTGGCGCCGGCACACTGGGTTCTAGTCCCGGTCGGGGCGCCGGATTCTGTCCCAGTTGCCCCTCTTCCAGGCCAGCTCTCTGCTGTGGCCCGGGAGTGCAGTGGAGGATGGCCCAAGTGCTTGGGTCCTGCACCCCATGGGAGACCAAGAGAAGCACCTGGCTCCTGCCTTTGGATCAGCGTGGTGCGCCAGCCACAGCGCGCCTGCCGCGGTGGCCATTGGAGGGTGAACCAACGGCAAAGGAAGACCTTTCTCTCTGTCTCTCTCTCTCATTGTCCACTCTGCCTGTTAAAAAAAATTATATATATATGTATATATATATATATATAAGTTAAAATCCGTATCACTTTCAAACAGGCATCTTGCAAGTCCTAAGGACGACTCCTCCTTCTGTGTTGACTTCTCCCTTTTTGATATTCTGTGACTGTGGAGGGAATTCTGTGTTACTTGTTCTATCTTCAAAATAAATAAGCATTTTAAAATTGGTCTTGAGATGGAGATGTGAGAAGTCTGAGACTGCTGCAGGGTGGTGCTCTTGGTCCCAGCGTGCTTCTCCGTATCCACACGTGGCGGAGAGCACGGCACAGGTCGACTGCTCGGCATCACCTTCCGCGTCCCTAGGGAGCAGTCGGCCAGGACTGGTGATGCCTGCACGCCCACAGTCTCCCGGTGCCCCGTCACTGTGCGTAACCTGCAGACATGGGCAGTCACTGCTGGGTGGTGCGCCAAGGGCTCTGTCGCCTCATCATACACACTCTTGTAGGAACACAAGAGGTCGGGACGCCCGGCATGCGTGGTCTGCAGAGTTAATAACGTAGGACTCTTGCCAATGTGTCAGATGACACTTAAAGGGGCAAGTACATGGCATTTCCAGATACATTTTATATACAACGTTGCCATCCCTGACTTGGTTCGCCTGGCTCCACTGCTCACAGGACAAACAGCGACGCACCCAAGGTCCCCAGTGAGGGACGCATGGCCAGACCCCTTGCCCACTCGCCCCCTTCGCGCTACACACAGTGTCACACTGAGGGATGAGCGTCCCTCCAGTCTTGGGCCCCCAGGCCCCTGCTGACAAGTGTGGTGTCACGGTCACTGCCCCTTTCTCTGGTACCTTATGTACCACTCAGTCGTCCCATCACCACACACCAAGCTTGACTTACGGAGCTTCCCACGACTCACTCCAAATTAGCTTTTCAGCCTCACCCAGGAAACCCAGTCATTTCCTGAAGCAAGGCTTCTGTGTTCCATTGCCACGCCTGGATACCGCCCACCTCCTTACGTTCCTGTAGTACACGAGCCTAGTGCACGCACCTGCTTCTGCTGTCACTCTCCCCACCTCACTCCTCCAACCAGCTTGCCTGTTTGTAACATAAGCCCAGTGTCCCTGCAGGACTCCAGCCTGGAGAAACGTGGCCACTCCCGGCTGTGGCGCAGCTCCGTGTTGCAGTTCCCCAGCTCACCCATGCTTTCTGAAGCAGTGCAGGTGGCAGTAGAAGCACGGAGTCCTCTGAACTCGGGTTTGGAAACGGACTCTGGCACCCACCCACAAAGATGCAGCTCAGTTCATTTTCCACACCTGCACTTGCTCCTCTGAAATGGGGCTGCAACAATGCCAGGGGGCTGCTGAGGGACCCATGGGGTAATGCCGAGGGACCCATGGGTAAGTCCCCTCAGAGACCCATGGGGTAATGCCGAGGGACCCATGGGGTAATGCCGAGGGACCCATGGGGTAAGTCCCCTCAGGGACCCATGGGGTAATGCTGAGGGACCCATGGGGTAAGTCCCCTCAGGGACCCATGGGGTAATGCTGAGGGACCCATGGGGTAATGCCGAGGGACCCATGGGGTAATGCCAAGGGACCCATGGGGTAATGCTGAGGGACCCATGGGGTAATGCTGAGGGACCCATGGGGTAAGTCCCCTCAGGGACCCCACAGCTTCGCCTGCACATAACACACACCATGCAAGTGCTGGCCAGGCTGCCTCACTGCTTCCGTTTTGTTTGGGCCATGACTGCATCTGGGTCCTCACCTGTCTGCCCGAGAGGACAGCGGACAGCAGCTTCTCTCTGGCATCCCATGTGCAGGACCCAGCATGAGGCCGGACGCACACAGATTAGGTGTCTCTAGTCATAAGCTAAACGAGTAAATTAACAGTCAACGGGGAGGCCCCGGTCTAGCTGCTTTTCCTTCTGCAATAACGGAACAAACTTACTTGAAATGGGGTCTGTGATTAAAGATTAACTAGCGCAGGATGAAGAAGCCCTACTCACGACTCACTGTTATCCTACATGTTTGTCTTTGCAGGGGTGCAGTTCTGTTAAGAGCCTCCAGATAAAACAGCTCAGCAAAGTCACAGGTTTCTTGAACACTCCTATCGCATTTTCTCAAGGATGGCATTTTCTCACAGCAGTGACAAGTGCCGTGTCCCTCACAGGCGCCCAGAGTAATTCATTAGCATACATATGAAAGAAAGAAGTCTACATCCAACCTTCACCCCCAAAGTCCTTGAGAAAAAAAGAAAATCAAAGCAGCCACAAGTGCTTTAAGAAGTCAAATTGGTTTCATCACTCGAGCACGCCAGGGTGCTACCAGGAGCCTTGCAGAACGACACCTGCTGGACCTGCCCTGGGGTTGAGTGTGGATGAGGGGATCGGGGTGTAAGTGAGAATCCAAGTATCTGAAAGGAGGGAATCGCATGCTGAGGAGCTGGGGAGGTCTTTTCTGATCAAACCCTGCAACATTTATCTTTATGAGCTTAGCGAAGCAAAGGACTTGTATCAGTTCCTTAGCTGGGGGTTTCTGGACATGTGCCGCATTTCACGATGCTCTCACGCAGGGTGAGTCACGGAGGGAGCAGAGCAACCCCAAGCCTGCCTCTGCACTGCCAAACACCAGCATAAAGCTGAGAAAACAGCCACCAGCTACTGAGAGGTGCACCTGCAGTCTCCCACGCACGGCTTAGCTTCTGAAGAGCGGCTCCCAGGTCCATCTGTGCAAAGCGACTCCATACAACGGGCTCACCACAGCCAGGAAGCAGAGGAGCTGGCGGTTTTTATCTGGATGCACAGCTCCTTCTGCATCTGTGGACGTCCTTATGAGTGGGGTTTCTAATTCAATGTTTCTATCAATAAGCAGACCAACACCTCACCTTCAAAGTAATGTCTGTCTGTCGACGAATTCCTTGCAAGCAGAACCTGAGGCAGGGATTCCCGTGCGTGAGAAAGGCCAGGAGAGAGCAGAGAGGGCAGAGCGAGTGCAGAGGCAAAGTCAGGCTCTGTCAAGGTCATCCAGTTCCTGCCGGCACCTCTGGGGAGCTGTGGGCATGCAACACGGAGAAGGGGCAGCTACGGCATGGACAGCTGGGGATGTGGACAGAGCACAGCCACACCCGCCACCTGGCTGACTGCAGACTGCTCCGCCCTGCAGACGAGGTTTACCGCAAGCATGAGCAAGCACAAGCAAGCACGGAGGCGACCCCTTCACTGAGAGCGAGCACATTCTTGACTTCACCTCTCTCTCTACAGTCAAGACAAAATACACTTCAACTAGGGGAATTTCTAGATGCACGCCTCTTTTAACATGGGAGAAAAGCTGTTATAGTAACGTTTCTTAAGTGGGAAGAAGAAATGCGTGGGTGACAAGAAGGAGAAATTGAGTTCTATCATGGTTTTACCCTCAGTCTCTAAACGGCCACCAGCCTTTGTCCGGATTCCATTCAGGCCATGAAACTCTTCATCCTGGTGTGGTTTCCACAGAAGCAAATACACTCAGAGACACTCAGCAGAGCGTGCATGTACATACGTGTGCATGTGTGCATATATGTATGTGTGTGCATGTATTGGGTGTGCTGTGTGTCTAAGTGTATGTATGTGTATGTGTGTACAAAACCAGAAACAAGGTCGAGATAAGCCAGACCCCGAGGACGTGGGTGTAGAGCAAGCTGAGGCACACGAGGTCGGCAGTGAGGAACATGCCCAATTCTCACTTCCTCTACCTGCCAGGGGCTAGGGCAAGCCCTCCAGGCAGGTGCGGAGCGCACAGTTGTTCGGGACAGTTCCTCTTTCCAGTGGATGGCGTGGATGCTGAGCAAGCCCTGAAGGAAGTACAGCCACATCTCTCTGGCCACCTGATCTCCGCCGTGGGGCACGGCAGTGGCGCTGAGGGAGAAGTGTGAAGCTTGCACTTCGTTCATATCAGCAGATGTAATTACTCTCCACAAGGCTTTCAAGGCATTGCGTCAGAAACATCCCCGGCCCTGGGAACACCACCCAGACAGGGCACAAGAGGCAGTGTGACCGTTGTTCATCCGCGAATGCCACCAAGGTCATTTCCTGCGTGACATTCACGTGACGCAGCTGCGCAACGTTCCAGTCCACAGGTGGCTGCCTTTCAAGCCCCTTGACTCCCACCTGCACCACATGCTGAGTGCACGACCCCTTCTCCCAGAGAGCATCGGCCTTGCCCAAATGTCACCTGTGCCCTGCTTTATGTCCGTGCTCTGCACACCACTACGCATCACCAAAGAAAAGTGCCAGTATCATACACTTTCGTCTTCATACTTTCATCTGGAACTTTTAGAGATGCTTTTTAAAAATAATTCACACACTGCAGTAACAAATGTACAGTGGCACACACACACACACGCATACACACATGTGTACACACATATGCACACATTTCTTTTTGAAATAGGTTTCCATTATCCCCAGGCATCTACATACACAAAACACATGTTTTCAAACTTTTTACAGACACAGAATTAACTTGCTTCGGAAAGCAGGGTACCCTCAGGCTGCGTTTTCCTGCCACGTGCACAGTAAGAACAACCTACGCTCAGCACACGGGAGCACAAGGTTCCCACACTCACAGGCGAACTGCAGTCTCGCCTCCCGGCTCACAGTGGTCCCCAGGAGATTGGTGGCCAGGCACTGGTATACACCTGCATCTTGATCCGTGCGGGGGCTCCTGATGGCCAGGCTCCCTCCCTCCAGCCTGTAGCGTTCACTCACGGCAAAATCAATGGCAGTGCCGTTGTGCCTCCACCTTAAAAGGAAAAACATCACATTATGCTGATAACGTTCAGAGCTGACCACCATTTGTCTCAACAACTGCAGTTTTAACTCCTGCAGCCAGGAAAGAAGCAAAGACGAAGAACGCGTCACCGCAGGCAGGTGTCTCGAGCTCAGTGACGTCGGCATCTAGTGTCTGAAAAGATCTGCTCTTTGCAAGCCACATTCGCCCACATCCGTACAAAGAGGCATCAGGACTCTTGACATGAGAAATTAAAATAAGACATCCAGTCAATAATACCGGCCAATCCTGTTCTTTTAGAGATGTTTCTAGTAACACAACAGCAGCTGAACACCCACAACTGATCCTGCAAAATTGAATGTCAAAATGATTTAGAGATCCTAGTCCAAGAAGCATACATTGCAAGTGGCAAGAAGAATGGCAGCCAAGACTGAACAGTGCCAACCTGCGGCTGACAGCACACCAGTGATCGCCTGACTACATGAAAACACAGCTGTGTCTGTTCCTAGGTCCCTCGGAAAGTTAATCTCCCTGCAAAGATTTCAGGGGTCCTCAGAAGTGCCAACCTCACAACTTATGTTAGCAAAAACATGCACTGTGAGAAGGGTTTATATTAGGAGGAAACCACCTGATCTTGGTTATTAGTCAACAATCCTGTAGCACATGAATTAACTAACAGAAGAGCTTTAAAGTTAGTTTATTTTCAAAGAACTGAAAGTAGTTCTAGAAATTCCGTTTGGTCAGTTCAAGACAAACAAGCAGCAGGTAACTGTTTCTAACCAGACTCACTTCCAACACCTTGTGCTTCCCAAGTCTGCCACAGTCCCTTAAGATGGTGAGGTGTGCTTGCAGTGTGTTTATGGAGATGCATTCCAGGGCACGGGCTGTGTGGAGTCAAATAAACCATTTGGGGAGGACCCTGGGAAGCACGTGGGGACGGCGGCCATGGTCAGGGTGGAAAAGCCGCTCTCCTCACTCGCTGCGCGCTCACGGCCGCAGCCTCGGTCACAAAGGGCAGATCACCTTGAGACAAGCCCCCAATTCTGCTCGACAGAAACCTCCCGAGTGGGGGCCTCCAGAAGCCAGGACCTGGAGGAGGAGGGAAGCCAGCAGGACAGAGCGGGGGACAGACGCTGATGAGCGGGGGGCACGGCGACGTCCGTGCCGTGTCTTTGAGGACAGAGACGCTCCTGCCCCCTCTGAAGGAGGTCTCCACCATCTCGGGGAACCTGGTGCAGGAAGCCTGCTCTGACCTTGGGGAAACTCCCTCTGAATAAGCCTCCCATAGCCTTAGGGCAGGGGGCGAGGGGAAGGCAGGACCAGGACTGACCTCCCTGGGTCTGGTGTGTTCTCAAATGACCGACTGCTGACCTTGGCACTTCCTGACCCACATCACAACCACTTAGAAGAACACGGTTAGGGCCCGTTCCTGGGGAACACTCTCAATTTCCACACCGTCTTGTAGGGTCTACACTGGCTCTGCTGTGCTCTCCCGTCTGCACTGACGCCATGCTGGATTACTGGGGTGGAGGTGCTGGCAGGAAGGAACGGCATTTTCCACCACCTCCGCGGTTGTCCCAGTGTTGTGAATGCTTCCCACGGCACAGCAGGGGCTGTACTCAGGGAATATACGACCCTGAAGGACTGAACACCAAATCAGTCCCAGTTTGGGAACCACCTTTCTCACTTTCAGTGGGTCAGCCGTTCCTGTGCACCACTTCCCCGCACTGGCAGGAAGTGGGAAGGCAGCAGCTCGGAGTGGCTTCTGACCACGGTTTCCTACGGGGGTCTGTTCTGAGGCCGACGGGCTCCCTGCCAGCCCTGCCTCAGGGTCTTTCTCAGTCTGCTTCCAGGGCACGGCCTTTGGAACCCCACGTCCCCTCTTGCTTTCAAAGCCAAGGATACTTGGTGCGTAATTTGCCAGCTCTCTTTAATTCTGGAATCAATCATCGAAACAACTGCTGTCACTGTTACACGCTCCTAATTAAGCCCAGTAATTGTTTTCCAACACAAATTCAAAGTTGTGGGCTTAGTCTCAGAGAAGGACTTTTCCACAGTGTTCCATAATCATTCTAATCACGGGGGTGCAATGATCATTAAACTGTGCACATACATCAGGGGTCAACTCCTGCCTGGTGTGCACTTTGTCCCAACCAACGTGTTTAAGTCAATGGAGGAGCAGCACAGACAAATTCAAGTAATCGCTGCATGCATGGTTCTGGTTGCATTGCGTTCCTAGGATGCAAAGCAGGGAATAGGCCTTGAAAGATTATCTAAGCATTTGAATTACCTTCACAAGAACTTCAGGAAACAGAACTGACTTGATCTGACGTCCTGACCTACTGCTGGGGGACCTCCTGCACTGCTGAGTACCTACATCACATCATGTCTGAGGCAGTGTGTGCTGTGCTCACACGTGTGAGTGCAGGCTGCTGTCTGTCAACGCGGGCTCACGTCAGAACGGCCCGGGGCACGCGGTAGCAGTGCCTGTTTCTGAGCCCCTCCCCAGGCCTCAGGTTTGCGTCTGCCTAGGGAGCTGCCCCTGTGGGCAGAGGCGGGGCCCTGCATATTTGCAACTCAAATTCCACAATTTTTTTGCTAATACTCATTATCTTCGATACCTCTGCCTCTTGCCTTACTGTCAGTGGAAGTGGGCCTGCGTCTGACGTTTAAGTATTACAAACGTCATTCTTTCCTCGCTATTTCCAAAGCCCCTTGAGTTTTTAAAAAACACTATCAGACATGAGCTGACCCACCTTGGGCTGGAAATACACTAAACAGCTTGTTCTCAGTGTCCAGTTGTGTCTGGTTCACTCATGTCTTAGCAACAACAGCACCTTAGCCTGCGGAATCTGCAGTCTCCCTCGCCGCTGGGGTCCTCCAGAGGGAAACGGGTTACCCTGAGAATCACTTCCTGCCTACTCCTAGTTGGTGCACACACAACGCACGGTTGACTGATTTATCTTAGATTTAGCGCCCCTAAGAAAAGACGCGCTGGTCTTCTCCAGCACATCTCCCATCCCTAGGGTCAGTCCAATGAGCTCTCAAAAACACAACCGTAAAACCACAACTTTGCGTTTCAGTGATCTGAAAAATGTATGAATTATATTTTTATATATTTAATGATGTGTTCAATTAAATAAGACAGCTCACTGGTTAAGGAAAACAAATCTTGGATTGAGTGAACCAGCGTGTAAAGCAGGATCCTGTCTTTCGGGGTGAGGATGGGCCTGGCTGGGGCACCCCGAGGACAATGGGATCCATGAGATAGAGACCCAGCTCTGAGCTCTTTCCCTGGGAGGAGACAGTGCCACCGTCAGCTCCAGTACAAGTTGGGCAGCTTTGTGCACTGAAGTCACCTAACAGATTCACCTAGAAATCTTGAGTTCAAAGTAATTATGCCTGTAAATAATATATTTGGCTACCATTTAAAAATTAGGCAAAGGAGACTATTTTTCCAAAGCACGCTCAAGTGTTCCTTTGTGTGTGCCCATTCAACTTCACATTCAAAGTGTAAGACTTTGGGGCCAGCGCTGTGGCACAGCGGGAAAGCCGCCGCCTGGGACTCCGGCATCCCACTCACATCACCGGTTAGAGTCTCAGCTCCTCTGCTGCAGGGCCAGCTCCACGCTGATGTGACAGGGAAGGCAGTGGAGGATGGCCCACGTACTCGGGCACCTGTCACCCACGTGGCAGACCTGAGTGGAGTTCGGGGCTCCTGGCTTAGGCCTGGTTCCGCCCCAGCCATTGCAACCATTTGCAAAATGAACCAGCAGATAGGACACCCCTCTCTCAGTCTCTCTCTGGCACTTTGCATTTCAAATAAATAAAAAATCAATAAAATTTTTAAAAATTAGATAAATGTAAAAAGAACCTAAAAGATTATTTTAAAACCAAATGCATCATTTTGCTATTTGCAGTTGTCCTATATTCATACCACACACGCAATTCTCCTTAGCAAAATATCCTTACTGTTGACATTGTAGTTACTGCTTCATGCGTGTGTTTTTAAATATGTGAATTCCACTCACAACATGGAGAACACCCTGCCTTTATTGCAACTGCATAAACAACAAACACATGACTGACCCTTCCTCTCTGCTGCTCCACAGGTAATACGCGAGAAACAATTTTTTTCCCAATTTTCCCTGAATAAAAACTCTCATTCAGCCTTAGAGCCACAGGCCGCCTTTGGCACATTTTCCCAAAATGCTGTTTTAGTGATGGGACACTCCCTTCCCCCTGCCCCCACAGTGGAGTCACAGAATTGCATCGCACAGAACTGCTGCATTTCCACCTTGGTGATTCCCTAGTAGGGGACGTTCAGAGACAACCAAGCCTGGGGAGAAGGAGGCCAAGCAGGTGCACCTCAGGCCTTCCAGTGAGGAAGCAAGTCCCCTCTCCTTTCCTCTCCCAGGCTCAGGTCCTTTCTCCCCCTCTCTCCACACAACGTGCACCACTGAGCACCCTTTCCATGAATCAGTGGTGTCAACCTAGCCAGTAAGACAGAGGTACAGCCAGGGGCACCTGGAGGTGCGGCTGTGGTCCTGATTGCCTGGGGAGTGGTGTGAAGCGGCGCTCTGAACTGAACTGTCCACGTCTGTATCTGAGTGGCAGGCACACGACTGTACAGCTATGGAAGAGTTTATGGATTGCACCTGCCAGCCTAGGACACTTTGATAGTGCGTTATTGTGCATCTGTGTGTGTGCACATGCGTGTGTGCATGTCCATGTGTGTCCGTGTTTATATGTGCATCTGTGCATGTTGATTGGCATGTGGCCATGTGTGTGCACGTACACATGTGTGTGCATGCACATGTGTCCATACGTGTGTCCATGTGTCTGTAGGTGTGTGTATGAGTGTGTCCATGTGCAGCCATGTGTGTGCATGTACACATGTGTATGCATGCATGCACTGCATACATTGTGTGCATGTGTGTCCATGTGTATGTATGTGTATCCATGTATATGGATGTGCGCATGCACATGTGTTTATGTGTGTCTGTGGGCATGTGTTTGAGTGTGTCCATGTGCAGCCATGTGTGTGTGCATTGCATACATGTGTGTTTGTGTCCGGGTGTGCTTTACATCAATGGCGAGGAAAGCAGATTGTGAGGCCGGGGGTCAGACATCACCTGTAATGAGGTGCAGGGTAACCGGCAGCAGCACAGCTCAGGATGACTTCGGATGCTGATGAACCCAAAGGGAAAGTGACGTCTCGTGGCTCCTGGGTAAATGCAGGGCAACTCACAGCACCGTCCCCTGTGAAAGCAAAGAGCCTCGCGTGAGCACCTGCGCCCTGCCTTGAGCACAAGGCTGCACTAACCAGCAGGTCGGCATGCACGGACTTCCACGTTGGAAACGCTCAGCCTTATGGAAAATGCTGCAAGAATTTTTCTTCCAGAACCATTTAGAGTAACTTCAGGCTGATCCTCTATCGAACCAAATGATTATTGATACCTTCTACAAACCAAGGGCCATTCTCCCACACAACCCAAGTGAAAGTAACACTAAGAGACTGACAGTGTCTCGGCGCTAGCACCGGCACCGCAGGCCCGTTTTACCACCTTCCTCGCCACGTCTTTCACAGCAGGAGGACGTGTGTGAGAAGCACCAGTGTCCTTGAACTGCTCCGTCTCCGAGCCTCTCTCTGGACCAGCCCCGCAGTCTCCCCCTGATTTCCTGACTCAGGCTGTGTGCGATCACAAGGCGGGCGGCTGGCGTGGCCCCCTCTGCCTGGGTCTGGGCGTCAGGAACTAGGGACAGGGACGGCCTGAGGGGAGCCGCGTGTGGAAAGGTCCCCGGCCACACGCCTTTGCTGCCTCGTGATTGGAATGTCGTGCTCATGGCCTCTGATGGCACAGACGGCTCTTTCCCTGCTGAGCACCTAACTCTCTTCACATACTTCCATCAGTGTGGTTTACTCAACCAGGATGACGCCAATTTCTTATTGACTGGCAGTTACACTCCACTGCCCTGCACACTGGCCTCCCTGTGCCTGGACACACCTCTACCACTCTCTGAGCGGCCCTGGGCTCTGCCCCCTTCTGCCCTCCCCTGCCTGACCCCAGCCCAGCACACATCTTCTGTCTCGTGCCCAGCTTGGCCACATGGCTGTCAACACCTGGACAGGTGCCCACCTTACCTGCTTCCACTCCAGGGTGTGGGGACTGACATGTTGTAAAAGGCAGAAAAGGGGAGGGGGTGCTCAGAGCTCAGGTCTGAAATTCAGTGTTTGTGTGCAAACCCACCACAGGAAGCATAACCCTGGCTACACCTGGACTTAACTTCAGGACACGCAGTTCCTGATTCCGCAGTCACACCTGAGGGGCGCATGAGGCCCAGCCATTCCCTGTGACACCAACCACAGCAACAGGGAGGCTCAAGGGTTGACATCAGTCAAGCCAGGCTTTGTGGTTTGCAAAGAAAACGGGACAGAGAAAAGAGCAGGTCTGGTGACTGGAGCACATCTCTTGTCCTCACTCATAAGACAGATGTGACGCTCACATCAGAGGATCTGTGTTATGTCACATGATGCCTAGCACGGACATCAGATTACACACGCAGCATCGTCACCACCATCACCATCATCGTCACCATCGTATTACCACTACAGATTAGGAAATAAATTCACAGCCACGAAGTTGAGTTAGGATTTCCAAAGTCCCCACCTGCTTTAAGACCAAGAATTAACTTCAGTTCTGGAAGTTCCTTCCTTCTTGTTGTCCCCATGCACTCAGACTGCTGCCTGCACGAGCGTGCTAACACAGGTGCACCAGTGAGATAAACCCTTCTGGTCACTTGATCTTCACAGGTCACTGCAGTGCCCTCCACTCTTGGACTGGGGTTGTGGACAAGCACCGTTTCCACCTCAGCCAGTCCAGGATTAGCTCCACCCGGCTGAGCAAGTCCCCTGGCGACTGAGCTCTCTGGTGCAGCCTGGGCCTGCTGATGGAGAGAGGGGACCTGTCGCTCCCCCATTCGCGGAGGAATGACACTAGACCCTGCGCTGTTCTTTTGTCTGCTCGGCCCTTCCCGGGTTAGCTGCCGGCCCCCTCATTCGTGGAGGAACGACGCCGTCCCGGGTTAGCTGCCGGCCCCTCCACCTCCGTGGAGGGGTGGCACCCCCTGCCGCTTTCCCCGCTTCCGCGGAGGAGCAGCACACCGCCGGCCGGCTCTCTCAGGGGCTGCTCAGGGGCTGCTCAGGTGTTCCTCTCAGATGTTCCTGGTGCATGTTGTCTCTCTCCTCCTTTATAGTCCTCTTCCACCAATCCCAACTCTGCTGCCCACATGCCGAGCACGCTGCTCTCCTCCAATCAGGAGCAGAATCAGCTCCTGCAGTTTATTGGCTGAACTGGAGGCAGCTGCGTAGAAGTTGTTTGGTCCTCTCTCAGCGCCATATTGTGGGAGAGCAGATGCATAGAATAAGTCTTAATTCCAGTAACTTAGTCTAGTCTCAGTTGCTCCCCACAGGGACCCAGGCTCTTCTTACTCCAACGCCTGGTAAGACGTGCAGGGCCTCAGAAGCACACAAGAAACACTAATGCCTGAGCGAGCAAAGGGACAGTGCCCACGATGCTGACTGAGAGACCATCAAAGCCGGCAGAGACACAAGAGGCAGAGCTGCAGTGTAGGCTGTGGGCAGCTGGCCCGGGAGCGAGAGCCTAAATCCCTCAGCTCGCCTCCCCATGAGAGGCAGAGCAGAGCCACCTGGGAATTCTCGCCACAACCTCCACACCTGGGCCTGAGCAGGTCGGGTACCCGTGGACTGTGTTTCTCATCTTTGTCCTCCTATGGCAGGAAGGGGTGAAGAGAGAAGAGGAACAGGAGTGGTGGAGCAGACTCTGTTTAACAGAAGCTCACTCAGCAAAGAATCCAGGGCCCGGGACAGACACTGTGCCACTCCCATTATGCATGCCTGACCCCGTACGGGATCACTCTGATCCAATAAGGAATGTTTCAGAACACAGACCACCCAGGGTTTCTTAGAAACCGCTGAGTCTCCCTCAACACCGCCATGGCTCCAGGCTACAGAATGTAGTCCCATGGGACATGTGGTCTCCAAGCTGTAGAAAACAAACTGGCCGGAGATATGATGAAAACAAAGGTAAAAGAAAAAACCCTTCCACTGGGCGCTAAGTGCCTCATTCTCCAAGCATGACAAAAAGAAAACTGGAACAGCAGCTGTGCGGACGCAAGGCAACAGCACGAGAGGGAAGCACACCGCTGAAGGCAGGCGTCTCGCCCGCTCTAGGAGAGAGCAGAAGTCAAGCAACCAGGGAACTTCTCAAAGTGCCTCCACACCACAGAGTAAGAACATGAATTTCTAAAAATACCATTACAACAGCAGGTGAAAGGTACACACGCACTCTAGGATTAGACATGGTAGAGGCTGCAAACCTAAGGATCAAATCGCACCCGTGCAGCGCCATTCACGAACCAACCCATTAGACCCAGCAAGACGCAACGCCGACGTCTTCCAGTGTACTGACAAAGATTTGAGATAATGACCATGAACGTGCCTGAGAAAGCACGGACCATAAAGCGCAGGAGTAATGGGTAAGAACGACAGATAACAGCCATCCCACACGAAGATCCTGGCGTCAGAGAATCAGAAGAAGCCGACGAGGAAACACACTCCACACCCAGGAGAGAGTCGGAGTGAGCAAGGGGCACAGGCAATGTGCTGGTGACGGTCTCCACACTGGAGCAACACTGAACAAGGGACCAGGCTGAGGGGCAAGGCACACAGGACAGTGAAAGGAAAAGTCAGAGTAAGCCGATTTTCAACAGCAGTGGTCCATGCCCAAAGAAAACGAAGGAAATCTACCAGATGCTGAATGGAACAGTGATAGAGTGTTTTTTACAGATCCTCAGATGGGATGGTGTGCAAGACATTTCTGAACATCAAAAATATGTAAGATAAAAACAGCAAAATAATCTAACAAAATAACGTGAACAACTATTCTTAAAGAGATCACTTAAAAATGAAATCCCGGCAGTTCAAATGAACTGCTCTACAGATCACAAAAATAATGGGGGGGGGGGGGGCAGCACCATGGCTTACTTGGTTAATCCTCCGCCTACAGCACCGGCATCCCATACAGGCGCCAGGTTCTAGTCCTGGTTGCTCCTCTTCCAGTCCAGCTCTCTGCTGTGGCCTGGGAAGGCAGTGGAGGATGGCCCAAGTGGTTGGGCTCCTGAACCCGCATGTGAGACCAGGAAGAGGCACCTGGCACCTGGCTCCTGGCTTCAGATCGGTGCAGTGCTAGCCATAGCGGCCATTTGGGGAGTGAACCAACAGAAGGAAGACTTTTCTCTCTGTCTCTGTGTCTATAACTCTACCTGTCAAATTAAAAAAATGGAGGAATGAGATGCATTTTGAATATAAAAACGTATATCCTAGCAAGGTTGATCTCACAGTGGGCACTGTGGCACACTGGGGTAGTCCACTCTTGGAGCTCAGGTTCCAGTCCCAATGACTACCCCCGGGAAGCAGCAGGAGACGGCTCAACAAAGAGAAGGAGAGAGAGAGAGGAAGAGACAGACACTGAGAATTCTGATCCCCTGGTTCACTCCGCAAGTGCCCACAAGAGCGAGCGCTGGGCTCAGCCAAGCTGGGGTCCAGAATTCAATTCAGGTCTCCCGTCTGGTGGCTCCCGTCACTGGCTGTCTCTCGGGGTACATGCAAGCAGGAGCTGGAATCAAGCCTGGGGCCAGTGGGACAAGCACCCAGGCACCTGACAAGGCACACAGGCGTCACGAGTGCACCAAATGCCTGCCCCTCAGTGCCATGCTGATGGGTGCTGTGGACTATGGGACTTGCACCGGGTACTATGGGCAGTTTAACACTAATGATCTATGTATTTGAGAGGTAGACAGAGGAACGCAGGAACTCCGGCCGTCGCCACTCTACCTCAGCGTGCATTCACTGTCGGGAAGCTGGAATCAGAAACAGAGACGGGAGCAGGCCAGGGGCACTCAGATCTGGGGTGCCCTGAGAAGCCTGCATTTCATGGTGGGGATATACAACCTTTCAGTTCTGTTTTCTGTATTTAGGTAACTTGAAATTTTTTTAGGCTTCCCTTTCCTGCTTAAAAAGCAAACAACTGAAATCATGCACGCTAAGGAACAAGCACCACGCCAGGCATAGAACAGGCACACAGCCAACATTTCACTCCTGTTCCTTGGCTTGCCTCAAAGTCCTGCTCACACTGCCAGCAGTCCAAACTCCACGTGCACCCTGGCTCAGCAACCTGTCT